AGGAAGAAAGGATATCAGAGATTGAAGATCAGCTTAATGAAATAAAGCATGAAGACAAGATTGGAGAAAAATGAATGAAAAGGAACAAACAAAGCCTCCAAGAAATATTGGACTATGTCAAAAGACCAAACCTAAAATTCATTAGTGTACCTGAAAATGATAGGGATAATGGAACCAAGTTTGAAAACACACATCAAGGCATTATCCAGGAGAACTTTCCCAACCGAACAAGACAGGCCAACATTTAAATTCAGGAAATACAGACAACACCACTAAGATATTCCTCGGGAAGAGCACCATCAAGACATATAACTGTCAGATTCTCCAAGGTTGAACGACAAAAAAAAATTTAGGCCAATATCCCTGATGAACATCAGTGGGAATATCCACAATAAAATACTGGCAAACTGAATCCAGCAACACATCAAAAACTTATCCATCACTATCAAGTCAGCTCCATCCTTAGATTGCAAGGCTGGTATCAACATATGCGAAGCAATAAACGTAATCCATCACATAAAGAGAACCAATGACAAAAACCACATAATTATCTCTATAGATGTAGAAAAGGACTTTGACAAAATTCAACATCTCTTTGTTGCTAAAAACACTCAATAAACTGGGTATTGATGGAATGCATCAGAAACTACTAAGAATTATTTGTGACAAACCCATAGGCAATATTATACTGATTGGGCAAAAGCTGGAAATATGCCCTTTCAAAACTTAAAACACAAGGCACAAGACAAGGATGGCCTCTCTCACCACTCATATTGAACATAATACTGAAAGTTCTGGTCAGAACACTCAGGTAGGAGAAAGAAAGAAAGGGTATTCAAATAAAAATAAAGGAAATCAAATTGTCCCTGTTTGCAGATGACATAGTTGTATATTTAGAATACCCCGTTGTCTCAGCTCTAATACTCCTTAACAATACACAAGGAACTTGTCTATTGTTTATGTTGCTTAAGCTTATAAGGAACTCCAGCGATCTCAGGCTACAAAATCAATGTGGAAATATTACAAGCATTTCTATACACCAATAACAGATATACAGAGAGCCAAATCATGAGTAAACTCAATTTCACAATTGCTCCAAAGAAAATAATATAACTAGGAATACAACTTACAAGGCATGTGAAGGACTTCTTTAAGGATAACTACAAACCACTGCTGAAAGAAATAAGAGAGGACTCAAAAATATGGAAAAAAATTCATGTTCATGGAAAAGAAGAATCAGTATCATGAAAATGACCATACTACTTAAAGTAATTCACACATCTACAACGATCTGATCTTCAACAAGCCTGACAAAAGCAAGCACTGGGGAAGGATTCCCTGGTAGTGGGAAAGCTGGATAGTCACATGCAGAAAGCTGAAACTGGAACCCTTTCTTATAGCACATAAAAAAATAACTCAAGATGAATTAAAATCCTTAAATGTAAAACCTAACACCATAAAAATCCTAGAATAAAACCTAGACAATACTATTCAGTCTATAGGCATGGACAAGACCTCATGACATAAACACCAAAAAAACTGCAACAAAATCTAAAATTGACAAAGAAACCTACCTAAATTAAAGACTTTCTCCACAGCAAAAGAAACTATCGTCAGAGTGAACAGGCAACATATAGTATGAGAGAACATTTTTTCAACTTATTCATCTGACAAAGTTTGATATCTCAAATCTCCAAGGAACTTAAAAAATTTACAAGAAAATAACAAATAAACCCTGTCGAAAAGTGTGCAAAAGATATGAACAGACACTTCTAAAACTAAGACATTTAATCAGAAAACACACATAGACAAAAAAGCTCAGCATCACTGGTCATTAGAGAAATGCACATCAAAACCACAATGAGATATCATCTCACACCACTCAGAATGGTGACCATTAAAAAGTCAATGAACAAGAAATGCTGGTGAAGATGTGGAGAAATAGGAATGCTATATACTGCTGTTGGACGTGTAAGTTAGTTCAATCATTATGAAAGACAGTGTGGTGATTCCTCAAGGATCTATAACCAGAAATACCATTTGACCCAGGAATCACATTACACACCCAGAGGGTTATAAATCATCCTACTCTAAGGAAATATGTACATGTATGTTTATTACAGCCCTATTCACAGACAAAAAAAAGACATGGAACAAACCCAAATGCGTATCAATGATAGACTGGATAAAGAAAATGTGGCACATATACACCATGGAATACTATGCAGCCATTTAAAAGAGTAAGTTCATGTCCTTTTTCAGGGACACGAATGAAACTGTAAACCAGCATTCTCAGCAAGCTAACACAGGAACAAAAAAGCAAACCCTACCTGCTCTCACTCATAAGTGGGAATTGAACAATGAGGACACAGGGAGGGAAATATCACACAATGGGGCCTGTCAGGGAGTAGAGGGCAAGTGGAAGGAGATCATTAGGACAAATACCTAATTCATGCAGGGCTTAAAACTTAGATGATAGGCCGGGCGCGGTGGCTCACGCCTGTAATCCCAGCACTTTGGGAGGCCGAGGCGGGCGGATCACAAGGTCAGGAGATCGAGACCACGGTGAAACCCCGTCTCTACTAAAAATACAAAAAATTAGCCGGGCGCGCTTGTGGGCACCTGTAGTCCCAGCTACTCGGGAGGCTGAGGCAGGAGAATGGCGTGAACCCGGGAGGCGGAGCTTGCAGTGAGCCGAGATCGCGCCACTGCACTCCAGCCTGGGCTGGGCGACAGAGCCAGACTCCGTCTCAAAAAAAAACAAAAAAAAAAAACAAAAAAACTTAGATGATAGGTTGATGGGTGCAGCAAAACACCATGACACATGTACACCTAGGTAACAAATCTGCACTTTCTGCACATGTATCCTCGAACTTAAAGTGTAATTTAAAAAACAGTCAGGATAAATGACAGACTAAATAGTGTCCATGAATTTATGATGACTCCCTTTTTGGTTTTTACTAAATATTTTTTCTGCGTTTTGTGTCTTGAAGAAAGCAAAGTAACAATGCATTGTACCAAACATTTTAAAAGAATTCATCAAAATGCAATTGGAGTCAATTCTTTTATCTCTTTGTGAAAACAGGTGTGGGATAAAAACCAGCTCTTCTAATGCTTGCCAGTGCCTCAAGGTGCTTAGGATAAAAATAAAATTTCCAATCTAAGGATATGTGGCAGCCTCCAGAACTTTAAGAATAGCCGAGAAATAAAGTACCCAGCTTCCAGCTCTTTCTGGGAGATCATGCCCAGTCCTCTGGGGACCCATGGACCTCGGAGGAGGGGCGAAGGTGGTGTAGGTGAGGGTGGTCTTTGGAGCCACTGCTACTGCCTATGGGATGGCTTGGAGTCTCAACGTTCAGTGGAAGCAGCAGGCTTTATGCAAGCAGTGTTTGATGTGCCTGCCTGTTTTCCATCTCTGTATCTTCCTTAGTAATGTGGCTCCTCAGGTTTTTATCTTGGAACTGGGTTGCTTATCCTTTTGAGTTTCAGAGTTTCTGTGAATTTTCTGCATACAAGTCAGTTTTTTAGATGAGTTTACTAAATTTTTCTAACTGTGGCTGGTTTCTTTATTCTCTTAACTGGATTTTATTTTATTATGATTTATTTTATTTTATTTTTACTTTTTGAGGTGGAGGTTCATCCTGTTGCTGAGGCTGGAGTGCAGTGACGCTTTATAGGATCACTGCAATCCATGCCTCACTAGTTCAAAGGATTCTCCTGAGGCTCCTGAGCAGCTGAGTTTACAAGCACATGCCAGAACTCCTAGTTAATTTTTTGCATTTTTAGTAGAGGTAGATTTTCATCATGTTTACCAGGCTGATCTGGAACACCTGACCTCAGGTGACCCACTTGCTTCGATCTCCAGAAGTGCTGAGATTACAGGCTTGAACTGCCATTCCCAACTGTAACAGGGTGTTTTACAGAGTAGACATTTCAGCTTTCAATAAAGTCCATATTATCCATTTTTTTCATGGACTTGCTCATAACTCATTACAAAACCCAAACCCACAAAGATATTTTCCAATTACAACTTTGCATTGAAAAATGTATGGGTATTTTTGACTTTTTTTTTTTTTTTGCTATGAAATTTGTGTCTATGTTCATTTGTTTCCATATAGTTTCCAGCTGTTTTCTTGCCACTTGTGGAATAGACTTATCATTTCCAAAGCATATTCTTTGCATTTTTGACAAAATCAGTTGACTGGGTCTGTTTTGGGACTGTCTATTCTGTGCCACTTATCTATTTGTCTATTAAATCATCAATGCCACACTCTTGTTTATTAAGCTAGCTTTAGTGTAAGTATTCATATCCATATGTGTAAGTCCTTTAACTTTGTTCTTCTTCAGTATTATTTCATCTATTCTAGGTATAGGAAGAGTTTGTTGATATATTTGCCTGGAATTTGATTGGGATATGGCTGAAATAGTAATAAATACACTTCTCCAGAAGAAGAAATGTCTCTTCCTGTATTTATATATTGAGAAAGAGTCTCCCTGTGTCACCCAGGTTGGAGTTCAGTGGCACGATCTCAGCTCACTAAGATTCTCCCACCTCAATGTGCCAAGTACCTGAGACCACAGGCATGCACCGCCAAGTTCAGCCTTTTTTTTTTTTTTTTCTTTTGTATTTTTAGTAGAGATGGTGTTTCACCCTATGTTACCCAGGCTGGTCCCCAATTCATGGGCTCAAGTGATCTGCCTGGTGCAGCGTGACAAAATGCTGGGATTACATGCACGTTCCACTGTGCCTAGCCTGTCTGCATTTACTAATATTTCTTTTGATTTCTCTCAATGGTAACTGATTGTTTTCTGAATTAATTTTGCATATTTTGTTACATTTATACTTAATGGATTCAGTTTTGCTGATACTATTGTATATGGTGTTTTAATATTTCAAATTCCAATTATTTTTATTTGTATTCATTATTGCTGATATAGATAAAATCAATTAAGTTTTGTCTATTGACCATCTTCTTTGTTTCTTTTTATCTCCATTCAAGGTATGGGAAGGTTGACTCTATTTCACTTCCACTTCCTGAGATTACCACCTGGATTAACCCATCCCGAATTTCACAGCTTTTCCAGGGCTACCACCAGGGGATGCACGGAGCTGACTCACTGAGCACGCAAGCCAACTCTCTGAGGAGCAGGGTGTCCTCACAGTGCCTCAGACAGAGCTTCCTTCCCTCAGGACACACCAGGGAGAAGCCATGTTTTCAGGGCAGCTGACACGTATGGCCACGTTTATGTTGAAGACTAAGCCTACTTCATCTGAGGATCCGCCCAAGAGTGGCTGTGGCTTTGGGACACCTGGGGTCACATCCACCATGAGGACGAAGCCTCTTTCTCTTCTGGACCTGCCCAGGACTGGCCATTGCTACAAGATACCTGGTGCTATGTCCAGGGTGAGAATAAAGATGTCTCCTCAGGACCCTCCCAGGAGAGGACATGGCATTTAGACATCTAGTGGCCAAGTGAGGAAAAGTCACCCTGTCTGCAGCACCCAGAACTGAGTAGGGGCACTACTCTGTACCTTACTTCCCAGTCCTGTCCTCCAATTCTGTTTTTACTAAAGTGTTCCTTGAGTGAGGCAATGACGACGCATTGTCACAATTGCCAAAGCGTGGTTTGCAGATTTTCTGGGCTTGTTTCTCTGGGGAGATTTTGGTACAGAGAAAGGAGAGGCACTGAGTGGAGCCACCTTGACAGGCTGAGGCCAGGGGAAACATCACAACCTCATTAACGCTGTTTTTCACACTTTAATGACTCATTTTACTTAGAGAACTAAAGCAGTTGAAACAATGTAGAAAAACTTTTAAGTAGACATATTAGAACTTTATTATTTAAGTTTAAATATATGATGGTTAGCAACACTTTTTTCTTTTCCTGAGACAGTCACAGTTTAATTGACAGTGCATTTGTAATGGTAATGAAAATGTGTTTTATATAGATTGACATCCTACATTAGCTGAGATACACTAACAATATCAAACTTTAATATTACACCATAAAACTAATTGAAGACTTTTGAGCCAAATATGAGTGAGAAATTACCCATTACACAGCCCTACTCAGGAGATCCTGAGAACATGTGCCCTAGGTTGTGTATTCACAGCCTACATTTATGCATTTTAGGGAGACATGAGACATCCATCAAACACATGTAAGATGTACATTGGTTTGGTCCAGAAAGGATGGTCGACTTGAAAATAGTGATTGTGCAGGTCTACGCTTTCAAGTTATAGGTAGATTTAAATATGTTTTAATTGGCAGTTGGCTGAAAGAGTTGTTATTATCTGAAAACATGGAATCAATAGATAGGAATGACTTGGTTACAATAAATAATAAGGGCTGCGGAGACCAAAGTTTTATCATGATGATGAAGCCTCCATTTAACAGGCTTGAGAGAATAGGAGGTAAATATTTCTTATCAGACTTAAGATATGTCTGGCTGTTAATGATGGTCAACTTTTACTAAAGTTCAAAAGGGAGGACCATGTAATGCAGCATGTTTGTCCCTCTTTCCTGTCAGGACTTGAACAAATTTTAGAATGCCGTTAGTCAAAAAGAGGGGTCCATTCAGATTGCTGTGGTGGGTTGCGGGGTGGGAGAGTTAATTTTTTTTTACAAGTGTTTCACCTCTATTTATAAAAATATAACCTACTAATTTGTTATAAATTATAATTAGTCTAAGAGATAAATGGGATTTCTTAAATCAAAAAAAAGAAAAAAAAAAGAATATTAGCAAACCTAAGCCATAATACCTTGCCGGATTTTCTTTTTCTTTCTATTTTGAAAGTTGCCAAGGATGCTTTGCTTGTAAGTCATATAGTTAACTCGTTGATCATCTGGGTATAGTTCTGTTGCTTCTTCAAAAATTGTACTCAGTAACCTTCCAAAATTGTTTTGAAGTAAAGTTCTTAAATTGTAGAAACAAACAATACTCGGGTTAATCAAAGGACATAAAAAATTTCACCTCTTCTTTCTTTTTTTTTGAGACAGGGTCTCACTTTGTTGCCCAGCCTGGAGTGCAGAAATGCCATCGTGGCTCAATGCAGCCTCTTGACTGCTGAGTTCAGTTGTTCCTCCGCCTTAGCCTCAGCCACCTTTTCATATTTTTTGGTAGAGACAAAGGTTTGCCATGTTGCCTGGGCACGTCTCAAACACCTGAACTCACATGATCTGCCTGCCTTGGCCTCTGAAAGTGCTGAGATTATAGGCTTTGAGAAAACATTTACATTATGGTTACATAAAAATCAATCTTTTAGTTAAGTTATGAACATATGTATAATGCATTTATTCATTTATGCCTAATTTTCATCATTTCCTTTGTCAACATTATGCATTTTAATAGTCATATTCAAGGGATGAGGCAAAACCACCTATGAATTAGCATATTTATTTATTTCTCTGTTTGTGAAAATGGCCTTAATTTCTTCACAATACAAACAAATTTCAACTCTTTTATGCAAAAAACAGAAGATAATATTTTTTAAATTGATTTTCTAGTTACCTTGCATACAGGGAATATGTTATCTATAAAAAATACTAACTGAACTACAGGTCTTAAACACTGAACAAATTATCAGTATATTATAGTTTATTTTATCCTATAAATCAATTGTATTTATATACAATCTAGAAAGTTCACAGCTGTCAACAGTTCTGGTGCAGTTTCAGGTGAAATGGGAATTTAGGAATCATTGTGGAGCTGTAGGTGTTGTGAAACATTTAGGTACAATATGTGCATACTTTTGGCAGCACTTGTGAAGGGATGTCTCTCAAATTGACCTCAATGCTTTCCTTCTCAGTAAAATGACCTGGGCCACTCCAAATGGCTTTCACTGTTACTGCTGCCTGCTCCCGTGGGCTCCAGGGAGGTTGGAGGACAGGCAGCTTGTTGTTTTTACAAATAAAATTGTTGTATCAAATTCATTTTCATATGGTTTATTGCTATGAATAAAAATAGATTTTAGTGTATTAATATTTTCTATTGTATGTTTAATTTGTTTACTAGAATTTGTTATTCCTTTTTGGTTTCTTATGATTTTCTGTGTATGAGACTGTGAGATCCAAAAAAATAGTTTTACTTTTATTTTTCCACATCCAAATAGCTTTGTATATATTTTTCTTTCCTAATTGTTTTGGATGGAACTTCTAGTACAATATTGAATACAATGATGAAAGTGAGCATCAATGCTGTGATCCTCACCTTAAAGCTTTGATTCCCAACAATTCAGATGCTGATTGTTGTGGATTTTGCATAAAGACATCTTACCAGGTGAAAGAAATTTGAAGCACAGTTTATTGGATGTTGTTATCATTAAATATGTTGACTAACTTGAAGTATTTTCTGTAACTGTTGAGATAAACATGTACTGTTTTCCCATCATTTAACTTACATGTTATATTGAAAAGGGATGGCTTCAGAATGTTGAAAAACCCTCAATTTTCTAAAAAAAGGAATTTAATCAACTTAATCATTGAGGTTCGTAAGGTCTTCCCCATGTAGCAAATTCCAGGTACTATTATTTGGTTAAAAATTATAATGTCCCTAATTATCAGATTTTTTTAACATTTAGTGTTTTTTTTTTCCCAGTTATATCATCTGTTTAATTCAATTTTCAATTGGAGTAAAAGAGAGGTAAGGTTTAGTGTACTCTTACGGGCATTAGGCGTTAGAGGTTAGAGTCATAGAGGATATATTTAAAATTCTTTTGTAGGATAATAGGATAATATTAAGAATGAGAGAGAAGATTGGGATTAGGGATAGGGGTTTATAATTGCAGAAAAATGGTTAGATTGAGGGTTAGGTCTGGCGTTGGCTTAGAGGTTAGTGTTGTGGTAGGATTAGGGTTATTGTTAGGATTAGGATTTCAGTCAGGTGTCAAGGTTACAGTTATGTTTAGGGCTAGAGTTAGAATCAAGATTAGATGTTAGGTTTGGGGTCAAGTTATGCTTAGTTTTATGGTAATAAATAGTCTTACAGTTAGAGGTTGGGGTTAGTTTAGGGTTAGGTTCTGGGTTAATGTCATGGTAAGGGTTAGGGTTAGTACTAAGGGTGAGAGTTAAGGTGACAGTGAGGGTTAGGATAAGAGGGTTAGTCCATTAGTGTTAGGGTTTGGGTTTAGGGTTAGTGTTAGGATAAGAATAAGGATTTGGTTTAGGGTTTAGGGCTTGGGTCCTGGTTAGGGTTTCAGGTTAGCATTAGGGTTAGTGTTTAGGGTTCAATATTATTTTTCAGGGTTATTGTTTAGCATTTAGGTTTAGGGTTAGTGTCAGTAGATGGTTAGGATAAGGGTTTAGGGTTTTGCCTAATGTTAGGGTGGGGTTAGGTTAAGGGTCAGAGTTTAGGGCTAAAGTTGGGATTGGGTTTATTGTATAGGATTATAGTTAGGGTTTAGATTTTAGTGTTAGAGTTAGAGTAAGATTAGGGTTAGGGTTACATGTTTGGTTTAAGGTTTATGATAGGCTAAGATCAAGATTGAGTGGTTTAGTGTTAGGGTTTAGGGTTTGGTCTAGGGTTAGTGTTAAGGGTTATTTGGGTTAGGGTTAGTGTTAGGGTTTTTTGGGGGTTAAGGTTAGTATTAGGGGTTACATTTAGGTTTCAGATTAGTGTTTGTTTTATGGTTATGGGTAGTTGTTAAAATTAGGGGAAGGTTTAACATTTCGGGTTCTGTTTAGGTTTAGGTTTAGTGGTAGACGTTTATCCTTAGGGTTAGTGTTAATTGTTAGTGTTAGGTTTAGGGTTTAGTGTGTATGGATAGGTGTAATATTAGGTTTTGTGTTAGCATTAATTCCTACTTTTAGTTTCAGGATTATGGTTATGATTATGTGAAGATTATGGTCAGGTTTATTGTTTAAGCAAGTGGTTTTGGTTATGGATAGTGTTAGGTTTTGGGTTGAGTTAAGGTTGGTGTATGGATGGGGTTGGGGTTAGTGTTAGTGTTATGGGTTAGGGATATCATTAGCGATTAGGGTTAGGGTTAGAGGGTTAGGGTTATGGCATACAGTTTATGTTTATCTTAGTAGTTAGGGTTAGTCTTAGATTTAGGCTTTAATTCGTGTTAGGATCAGTGTCTGGGTTTAGCATTAGAAGTTAGACTTTAGGGTTAGAGTTTTTTGTTATGGGTTATTCTGTAGGGTTTTTATTAGCTTTTGGGATTTGCAATTAGTGGTGTTTGCTTTGTGATTGGTGTTGTATTTGCAGCTAGAGTCAAGGGCAGTATTAGAGCTTAGGGTTAGCGTTAGAATTAGGGTTGGGTTAAGGGTCAAGATTACAAATTAGTATTTACAGTTAGAGTTTGGGTTGGGTTAGTGTTAGTGTTTGGTTTCAGTGTTTAGAGTTACGGCTGGCATTGCAGATACTTTAAGGTTAGAGTTAACGTTTTCGGGTTGAGGTTAGGAATAGGATTTACCGTTGGGGTATGGTTAAGGGGTAGCCTTGTGGTTAGGATTGTGGTAAGGTTGGAGTAAATTATGGTTAGGATTATGGCTTATTACTAGTATTCAGGTTAGGGTTTCTGAGTTTGGGTTAAATTTA